ATCCACCCGTGTGTGCGTGTGTGTGTGTGTTTTCAGAGGAAGTAGTACACGGAGGAGAGGGTGGGAAAAGAGAGAATCTTCATGATTCAGTGATTTTATAGCACATTCATTTGAAACTTGGCAGCTGGACACAGAGTCCAGATGTGGTGAGGCTTTGGGGGTGTTAAGCTTTCTCTCCCATTACTCAATCTGAGGGCTTTGTCTTCCGTTGGGTAACATATGAAGACCAAGAGAAACAAACAACAAATGTGCTTTTGCTGAGTTTGGATGCTTCTTGGTCGACTGAGAAAATGAGCAGGTTCGCAAAGGCAGCTCTGATGCAGCCCATGGTGTCCTTAGTAAACAGTTGAATGTTGACCGAATGAACAAATGAATAAATGGAGGAGGAGCTGGAGCAGGAGGAGGGGGAAGGAGGGAGGGAGCGTGTGGACAATGTGTGCTTTGCTTGGCAAGCACATAGAAGCACCTTCAGGCTAGGGGCAGTGAGTGCGGGGACACATGGATGAAGATCCCTTCCTATTAGGGCTGTGGGGACACCTGATGAGGGGCGCCACTCACCTCTGGCTCTGTGTCCTGACAGCAGCTGATAGGTGTGGGGCATTCACAATATGTCAGACGCTGCACTAGGGGCTTGACAGGAAGGATTTCATTTAATCCTCGCTGTAACCTTAGGAGGTGAGCATGATTACTTCCATGTACAGAGGAGGAAACCGGGTCACAAGGAGGTTAACTAACCGGGTCAGTGCCTCTCAGTAAGTGGCAGAGAGTTCAAAGCAGGAAGAATGCTGTGGCCTTCACCACTATTACCACTATTACTGGTAGTACTACTACCCAGTACTGCCTTGGATGAAGCTGGTCTGGGAAATTGGGCTGCTGGGCTCCAAGTGTCACTCTGACCTCATTCCAATGCCTCCAAAGGTGGCTGAGAGATCCTTGGAAAGGAAGCCAGAAAGGGCCCAGAGGCCTGGCAAGACCCAACATCCTCCCAGATGCAGGCTGTCACCTGCGCCCTGGTGAACGATCCTCCGTGAGCCTGAGTGCAGAAGGCCGGGCGGGCTGTGGTTAGGAGGGCGAGTTTCCCGTTGCCTGGAGAGGTTCTCCTGGGGTAAATGGATGGTGGCCTGGAGCAGGAAACAGTGCTTCTTCCCACCTCTGCCTGCCAGGACCTACACTGCTGTCGCAGGGGGCCAGCTAGTTTGTTGCTTTTGTACAGGAGTCTGTAACATTTTGTACAGGCCTCCTGACCAGGTTGGGGATGGGCTGGGGAAGAAGGGAGCAGGGTGGTGGTGGCGGTGAATCGAATGGCAGCCTGGAATTAGGAAGCCTGGATGCTCTGTGTCTCCTGCCCTCTCCCCTTCCTGATTTGGATTGCATCTGGACAGAGAGCTCTGATACGTGGCCAGTCCTAGGGCAAGAAGGGGCCTTGGATGTCATTTGGCCAAATCAGACAAGGAACCAGAGTCCCCAGGGGTGATGTGACAGGCGTGGGCCCAGCCCACCTGTGGGTGGTGGGGCTGTCCTGGATGCTGGACTGCTGGCCTCGCAGCGTCTCACCTCTTCCAGCAGTGGGGCTTACTGCTCCATGCCGACTGCTCACCACACAGGAGGAGGTGGTGTCAGACCCAGGACCCAGGTCAGGGCCAGGGCCAGGGCCAGTGGAGGGAAGAGCCGAGGGTCAGAGATTGAGGAGGCTTTGCCTCCTTAATTTTCAGGGCCAGCCTTCCTTGCATTTTGTGCCCTAGGGCCTCCTTCCATCACCGTAGCTCTAGGCTTGGCCAGAGCTCCGCTGCCCTGGATCCTTGTGAATGAGGACTGCAAGAAGGCTCCTTGGTACAGGGGTGTGTCAGGGGTTGTTGGGGGGACAGAGATATTTGTTAATAGCTGTTGGCAAGACAGTGAAGATAAAGTGCCCTCCTGCCTCAAAAACTCAGCCTTTGTGTGTGGGTGCCTTGAGCCTACCTGAGGTTTTCAACCCTTTCTTCTGCCCTCTGGAATCTAAATGGTGTCTGTCGGGATTCTAGACACTGGCTGGGAACTTCTGCTCTCTAGCTGCCAAGATGAGCTCTCAGAACCCTAAGACCTGAACCCCATCTCTGGACTCTAGGTCCTTGGAGAGCCACTCAGAGCCCAGAATCCAGAAGGCTTAGATGAATCAGGGCTGTTAGGAAGTGTTTTTAAATGCACTTGCTTTAAAATGAATAAAAGGCTAAGGAGGACACGAATGCCAGCCTGCAACTCCAGCCTTGTAATTCAGAGCCCAAGCCAGACGCAGCCACCAGCTTGCAGTGGCATTACGCTTGGCGGCAGGGAGGGGATCTCGAAGGACAGAAGTCCACTTTTGAGTCCCGACCCTTTAAACTGAACTAATCCAGTCCTGAGAGGAAGGCCACTGGAACACCTTGCTGAGCTCTTCTTGGTTCTGGGGCTGGCGGGCACCTTAGGGAGACTTTTAGGAGACCTTCAGGGGTCTCTGTTGGGTGGTTTTGGGATGCGATGCTGGTGGAACCCTAAAGCATCATAATTGTCAGTATCAATCCTAACACGGCCCACTGAGGGCTGGCTGTGCAGGAGTGTGGAGAGGACGTTACCAGGGTGGGCTCTGGAAAGCTATGCTGCCTGCATTTGAAACCTAAGTGGCCTTGGGCAAGTTAATAACCCTTTTAGTGCCTCAGTTTCCCACAGTAGGGACCACAGTCACACTTTCTCCAAACAGTTGTTGAAAAGATTAAATAAGGCCAGGCACGGTGGCTTACACCTGTAATCCCAGCACTTTGGGAATCCAAGGCGGGAGGATCACTTGAGGTAAGGAGTTCGAGACCAGCTTAACAGGGTGAAACCCTATCTCTACTAAAGATACAAAAACTAGCTGGGTGTAGTGATGGATGCCTGTAATCCCAGCTATTCAGGAGGCTGAGGCAGGAGAATCGCTTGAACCTCGGCAGCGGAGGTTGCAGTGAGTTGAGATTGCTCCACTACACTCCAGCCTGGGCAACAGAGCGAGACTCTGTCTCAAAGGAATAAAACAAAAGATTAAATGAGATAATACATGTAGATTTCCTTCCTCATATCCCCTTGATCGACCCTTCCATGAGAGTGGCCGGTGCACCCTCTCCAGAGCACAGTGACGCTTGCCGATTCTGGAGCCTGAGGACCCTTCAAATATCAGCATCTCCACTCAGACTTCCTCTCCGACAGAGGGGCCACTGGCTAGGCCAGCAGGAGCAGCAGCTGACCGTATTTATTGGTGTGAAAGTCCCACCTTGTACAGGTGTTGAAATGTGGCCTGAAGATGTCCTTTGCAAAAGACCCTCATCTGCAAGGTTGCATCTCATGACAGTAAGGAAGACAAGATGGTCCTTCCTGTCCGTACCTACAAGCTGGCCGATCCACAGAGCTGCCTGACCCATTGCCTGCCATCAGATGGGCCAGGCTATAAGCAGGGTTGCTGGGTGTTTCACCCTGGGCCTGGCAGGGCTGGGTTGGGGGAGGGGGTGGGTACTCACGCTGGATGTCAATGGTGACCGAAGTCTCCTTTCCTCCGGGGATGGCTTTGTTGGTGGCACGGCACACGATGCTCTGGCCATTTTCCACGTCACCAGGGGAAATGAAGAGGGTGCTGACGATGCTCTCCCGCTTGCCGTCCCGAAGCAGAGTCTTGGGAGAAGGGGAGAGGGGAGAGAAAGCTCCATGTCATTTGGCTGGGGTGGCCAGCCTGGGTTGGGAGTGAACAAGCACTAGCTTAGACAGAAGGGGGAGCTGAAGATGGAGGGGTTCAGCTCAGACATTGGGCTGCCAATGTCTATGTAGAGCTCGGGGGTTACTCTTGGCTCCCTGGCCTGGGTAAGTGCTGGGCTGTGGAAGGAAAAAGGAACTAGGCAGTTTTCCATCATGTGAAAATTATCCTGGATTCACATGCTAAAAGCACAAAATAAACCAGGATAGGCTTCATGGAAACCAGGCTTCAGGGGGTCCCGTGTTGAAATGAACTCTCATTTGTTTTGCCTCTGGTGCCTGAGTGAGTCTCAGGCTCTGTAGGACACAAGGAGATGGTTTGCAACCAGCAGGGACTGTGGCCCCTCAGCAGGGACAGTCTGCAGAGGGGGCACAGTTTGGGGAATGGGAGTCAGAGTGGGAGGGGACATAGGCAGAATCAGTGCACATCAACTTTTTGATTATTTGTCTATGTAAATCCTTTCAACTTTCCAAAGCGTTTCACTCCCTGATCTCATTAGAGCCTCAATCAAACCACAGGTGGGACAGACACCATCATCTCCCATTGGATAGGGGAGAAAATAGGTGGGCTAGACAGAGGCTGTGGAGCTTGACCAAACTTACACTTCGAATTGGTCCTAAAATAAGTACTAGGTTCTTACAGGAGGTTGAATGGTGTCATCTCCAAATTATTTTCTACCTGGAATCTCAGCATATGATCTTATTTGGGAATAGGGTCCTTGCAGTTTAGTCAAGCAATTAGTAATTAGTTAAGGCTCTTGAGATGGGGTCATACTGGATTCAGAGTGAGCCTTAAACCCAATGACTGGTGTCCTTGGAAGAAGAGAAGACAGTCTGCGGGGTGTGGAGGCTCATGCCTGTAATCCCAGCACTTTGGGAGGCCAAGGTGGGAGGATTGCTTGAGCCTAGGGCTTGGAGACAAGCCTGGGCAACATAGGAAGACCGTGTCTCTACAAAAAGAAAAAAAAGAAAAAAGAAAAAAAGAAAGAAAAAAGTTAAAAAAAAATTAGCCAGGTGTGGTGGCTCGTGCCTGTAGTCCCAGCTACTTGGGAGGCTAAGGTGAGAAGATCACTTGATCCCTGCAGGTTGAGGCTGCAGTGAGCTGAGGTTGTGTCACTGTACTCCAGCCAGGGCCACAGAGTGAGACCCTGCCTCAGAAGAAGAAGAAAAAGGAGAAGGAGAAAGAGAAAGAGAAGGAGAAAGAGAAGAGGAGGAGGAGAAGAGGAGGATGAGGAGAAGACAGAGAGACACAGAGAAGGCCAGGTGAAGTTGGAGGCAGAGATTGGAGGGATGCTGCCACAAGCCAAGCAATGCCAGGAGCCACCAGGAGCTGGAAGAGGCAAGGACGGATCTTCCCCTGGAGCCTTTGGAGGGGCATAGCCCTGCTGACACCATGATTCCAGACTTATTGGCTTCTACAACTGTGCGATAATTGATTTCTGTTGTGTTAAGTGCCGAATTGTGGTGCTTTGTAATGGCAGCCCTAGGAAGCAAACCCATCTTAACTGCTGGTCTCCCATCTTCCCAGGTCATTGCTTTACTCTACTGGGCTACAATGTCATTCCGAAGCTACTTCCCCATTGTGGCTGCTACCTCCTTCCCTCTCCTGTTCCTCTTTGCAGCTACTTCCCCATCACTTTGGGGCCCACTAAGTCAGGTGCACCCCAGGGAGGGTGTGCTGAGTGTGGGGGGGTGCACTTCCAGATTGGGATTGGAGTCTGGTCAGTGTGCAAAGGCTTCTGGTACTAGGAAGTACCAGGAAGGGACTTCACTACGGGTGCAGTCCTGTTTCCCCCTGACTGGAGCCAGGGAGTAGATGAACAGACCACTCCTCCCTCGAAACCTCCCATAAAGTGACAGTGGCAGTGTCTCTAATTCTTATGAGGGCCCCGGAAGAGAGCAGCATTATCTTTGATTAGCCAAAGAGAAACCTGAGTTCCAGGTGAGCCAGGAACTTGCTGGGTGGAGCTAGGATTTACTTTTAAGAATGGGTGAACCCTGAGCCACAGCCTCTGCCGAAGCTCCCGGGGTGCTGGAGGGTGGGTACCGTGCTCTTGGCAGGACAGGTGGGAACAGTTAGGGCCACAGGGAGAAACCTGTAGGTGCCTGGAACCCCACATTCTGGGTCCTTAATTCAGTGCAGTTTTTCTCAATGTGGGGCAAACCTCATGATCTCAGGAGAACAGGGCCAGAGCCTCTATCTAGAACAGCACATCTTGCTGGAGGCAAAGCCAGACTGTGACATTCTAGAGAGCCACGTGGTACAGCTGCAGGCCTGGGACTCAGGGTGCCAGCCACGACCCTGGGCAGAGGGGCTGGAGGAGAGTGATGTGGCCAGATGCAGCAAGCCGGGGGGCAGGACCAGTGACACACCAGGTGAGAGCCTTCGATCTGTCCTGGGGCTGGCAAAATCGGGCGGAGGAGTGAAGTTGAGCCCCAAGCCTAAGCCCGGGCGGTGAGGAAGCAGCAGCCGGCACCGCTTTACCACCCTGGCTTGGGCTCCTCAGCAGACCTCACCGAGTCTATAAATAGCCAAGTGATAATAAGAACAATTTCCTGGCTGAAACTAAGACTTTGGGTAGGGTGAGCAGAGGCGGGAGGTGGTGAAGAGCGGGTCGGTATTGTTCTCTTCTCCTCTACTGTTCCGTTGTGCTAACAAGGGACATTTACATAAGCTTGACTCTGCCAGGAAAGCTTCCAATGGATGGGCTCTGGGAGGTGGGTGCCAGCGGGAGGGGAGTGAGGGGCCCCAGCTCTAATTAGGCCCTCTGACTGCTCTCCCTCCTCCCTGCACCCAGCGCGCTCCTCTGCTGCGGAATGGTGATTAATGACATATTTACTGGGTCCGGGCGTGTGCTTTTCTGGGAAATAAAAATTCTGCTTCAAGTTGTTTGTTCCACCTAATTAGAGAAAAAGGGAGATGTGTTCATTAAACAAAAGGAGGGTGAGGGGAAGGTGCGTGCCCCAGCACCAGCACCCTCTCTGTCCCCGTGGAAGTCCCAGCACCTCCTGGGCCCCCAGCTCATGGGGGACCCCAGACCCCGTGTGGCGGGCGTCCCAGGGAGGAAGGCTGGGTCTGCCAGCTCCGCTACAGGATGACTGAGGGGAGGAAGGTGGGACACAGCCAGGGGGCCAAGGGGGAAGGCTGGAGGGAGCCCTGCACCTGAAGGGCAGGGCGCGATGTGGAGGGGTGCGGGGCGTCTGCACCCTCGGGTTTCTCTTCCCCTCATTCCTTTCTGATCTCACCTCTCCTTTCTTGTTTCTTTGCTTCATTCCTTTTCAGAAATGAATCTCCCCTAGTCGTCACTTTTCTCATACACAAATGGAGCGTCTGGACTTTGCAGTCTTGAAGGTACTATCCAGGTGAACATTCTATCATCCACAGGTTCTAGCCACAGCTCCGCTCTGCCCCTCCCTTCTCTGCTTCCCTTCACCGAGCTTGGCTCTGGGGACACGCCATGGGCACTGAGCCCCCCACCTCCTGCTTCAGGCAGTTTCATGGGTTGCAGGTGAGCTCCGGAAGGAAGTGAATCATTCATGGTGGACCACTCGCTTTAGGGACCACCGCCTCCAAGGCCTCCCTCCAGTATGGTGAGCACTAATGTGCTGCCAGTCCCCAGGTCACCCAGTCACCATGTGACTGCCATGGTGACTCCCGAGGATCCCCAAGGGTCCCCGAGGACCCAGCCCCTGTGCGCGCAGATAGGGACCAGGGCCAGGCGTATAGACGATGTGTGTCCAGGAATGAGCGTGCTGGGGCACACACCCCCATGGGTATGTGTGCGTACCTGTTTTTGTCTGTGGGTGTTCATGGGCCTCTGTCCACTGACGGCTGTGACTGTGCAGGGCCCCAGGTTCTCTCTGGACGCTGCCTGCTCAGATGTTGCCTCAGGGCTGTGCACACACCCTCACCGCCCCTCCCTAAGGGCAGGGATTTGGCATTCACCTCTCTAGTTTCCCAGCGCTCTTCCCAGGTGTGGTGGTACACAGGGTACACAGGGTACCCCACCCCGTGGTTTTTCTGCTTGGGTGGCAGTGGCTGGCCACTCTGCTCTTTCCAAAGCCCCCAGGGCCTCTGCTGGTCAGTGGAGAGCCAGGCCAAGCCCTCAGAGATGGGCGGGCTGGAGGGCAGGCAGGGAGTGGGGACCCAAGCACTGGTGCTCAATGTGGGATGCTCACTGATATGCAAACAGTCTGGAAAGGCCGAGAGCAGGCCTGATCGCCTGGCAACAAGGCCGCCTCGCTTCTCCCCCCTACTCACCTTCCCTACCTGCTGGGCCCCCCTTTTTAAAAAAAAAAAAAAAAAATCATCACTCTGCTTCCCCTTTTGATAGCTGCTTGGGGCTCCACGTGGGCTGGTTGCCACCTGGATTGAATAAGGGTGTGTGGGCCAGGTGCAAGATGCACAGTGCTGTTTGCCGCAGTCCCTGCGTCTAGCCTTGAGGCCAGAGGCCAGAGGGGTGCCCTTCACAGAGAAGGCCAGGATGAGCCTCGGCCACACCCAGTAGACTCTTGGCCCCTAAGCTGGGCAGATAGGTGGAGGGTGATGGGGTGAGTGATCAGGGAAGGGGTGCCCAGTGGAGGGGGAGGGCCAGTGCATGTGGACACTTATCCCTTTCCTGAGTTGGGTGTCCAGAGCTCCTCTTAGCAAAGGTGGTAGAAGGCGAGGCCAGTGGTCCTGGTGGTAGGGGTAGAGGGCAAGGGGCTCCAAGTAGACACGGACACGACTGTGCGTGCTAAGACCACACAACCCTCCTGCCTGGCAGGAAGCTGCTCTTAGGAAGGGTTCTCTCCAGGCTCAGCCCGTCCTCTCACTGTTCCGTAACCCATCCTTCCTCCCCGGCTGTGTGGACCTGTGGGCTTTCCAGAAGAAAGAATGTGGCCTCCACTCTGGTCCTGGGCCCTCAGAAGTACGAGGAACAGGGGAGGAACCCACTGTCCCCAGACAGCCCGGGGTTGAGTCTCCAGGAAGAAGCTTGGAGGGGCCTTTCCCTGCTCCTTGCCTTTGCTGCTGACACCCCCGGGAGCCTACAGTGGGTACTGCCCAAGGCCCCGTCCGGCAGTGTGGCTCGCCCAGCACCCTGGGGCCTGTGACAGTGGCCTGTTAAGGAGAAGCATGGCCAGCCCGTGCTGGGGGAGGGGCTGAGTGCTTCCTCTGCTGCCCTTCCTCCTGGCGAAGGGGCCAGGTGCCCTCCAGGGATGAGGCTCATCCCTCCCCTACTGGTCCTATGGTGGAGTCACAGAGAGGACGGTCGGTGAGCAACCCAGAAACTTTGAGAACAGGCCTGGTATTTTATGAAATAGCTGTATGACCCCTGGGGTGGGGGACTGGGGTTCCCCCTGTGGGACAGGAGCCAATAATAGTAGCTCACATTTATCCAGCCCTTACTTCTGCCCTTGACAGGGTACTTCAGATACATAATTTCTTGTAAGTCACTCTGCAACCCTGATAGACATCCGTGATCATTACCATTGCATTTTGTAGCTGGGGAAACTGAGGCAGAGGGTGACTCACCATGTTACGTTATGGATCCTAAGTTTGAGCCGGGCCTTCAGAACCATGTGGCCATCCTAACTATGACACTGATGTCTGCATACGGGAAACACAAAGTCCACAGCAGCGCGGACCTTGCAGCCGTGTGGATCCAGTGAGGGAGTGACAATCCCAACAGCCATGCTTGTTGCAAGCTCGCTCTGTGCCAGGCGTGTTTCTCATTCAGTCCTCACAAGCACCCCTTGAAGCAGGTGCTGCTGTCCTTCCCACTGTATGGCAAGGACAGGGAGGCATGGCAAGGTTAGGTCACACAGCTGGAAAGTGGCAGAGCCCGGATCCGAATTCAGGCTGCCAGCTCCTGAGCCCTAATCATCCACCATGTGACAGCCACGGAGGGCGTCAGACCCGACAGCAGCCAGGGGTGCCCTGTGGGGTCTTTTCTGGGGTTCTTGGAGGCTGCTTGATTTTGTGTGTGCTCCCAGCTTCTCTCTCTCTCTGCGGCTGATGCTCCGGCCCCTCCTCATATGTAGCCTCTCTGGGGAAGTCAGGAGTGCTGCTGGCCTATGGCAGGGCTCCTTGCAGCCCTGGGGGATGAGGAGGTGGGCTGGGCCCCTGGGAGGGGAAGCAGAGGGGTTGGCTTGGACAGCCCCTAGAGCCTGCTCCATAGGAGCCCCGGACTCTGCACCCTGCTGGGTGTACTCCACGTCACAGGCTTGTAGCTTCTCCATGCCCAGCACAGAGCCCTGTGCCTGAGGAAGCTCTACTGACGTGTGCTGGCTGTGCTGGTCACCCCTTTGGTCTCCGTGAGAACCACTGGGCATAGGGTGGACAGTTAGGATGGTGGATGACCATGGTTTGGAGGAGAGGCCCAGAGAAATGAAGTGCCTTGCCTCGGGACACAGGGCCTCTTTCCATGCTCATGTCTAGGGACACATTGAGGGTCTCAGGCCTCTGCTGCTCCCTGGACAAGCCAAAGAGGGGCAGGAGACCATCTGAGGTGACTGTCCCCTGAGGAATCTGTTTCCCTTCCGGAGTGTCTGATCCAACACCTTCATTTTGCAGACGAGGAAACAGAGGCCAAGGGAGGGAGTTGTCTGAAGTTATGCAGTGGAACCTGGAACCCAGGCCTGGGGCTGCCTGGCGCTGCCATTGACATCACAGGCCCAGGAGCACGGATGGGGTCCCCCGCCCTGCTGTGCAGAAGCACGGCACCAGGCTCTCCGAGGGGCCTTCATGATGTAGACAAGGATGACATGCTGAGCTCAAGGTGATCCCGGGACAGGTCCAGCAGAGTGACTCTGACCTCTCTCTCCACCTGATGGCGTGTGTCCTCTGCAGGACATTGACCCTGCCAGGAGCCAGGCTGGCCCAACTTCAGGGAGGGACGGGACAGGTGCTCAGGCTGGAAGGAAAGCGCCTGTCCTTCCTTTTCATTCTCCTCTGGACAACCCTCTCTCTGTGTCTTATCTTTGTATTATATAACACGACACGGTGGCTCCAGCCCAGGACAGAAGGGAGGGGTTTGTCTTCCAAGAGGCGGCCACCTCACCCCTGGACTTGTGTCTGAGGGAAGGACTTTGCCCTGGGTTCTGGAACCAGGTGCTGGGTACTTGATCAGCAGCCCTGGAGTGACTTCTTGGCAGGTGGTCAGTTTGGGACAGGAAGGACACACCCTCAGAGCAGGGACGGGCCTGTCTCACATCCTCCTCGGATGGCCAAGGTGCTGGTTATCTTTTCAGGACTGCTGAGAGGACTGGTGGGTGGCGGGGACCAGGCCGTGTACCTCCCCAGTCTCTGAGTCTAAGGAAAACCTCAGAGCTGAGGCGAGAAGGTGTTCTGGAGGCTGGGCCCCCAGTTGCAGAGCTTGGGGTCGGCTTGCCCTGGGAGGAGCACGGGCAAGAGCAGAGGCCGGGGTGTCAGGAGGATGTGGTTCCAGGCCTGGCACTGCGCCTCCACCACTGAGAAAGACAGCCACTTCCCCACTAGGCCTCAACTTTCTAGCTGCAGACAAAAGAGGTTGGCCCAGCTATCCTGTAAGGCCTCGTTCATCTTAAAGGCTCTGCAGTACATTAACCCCATCTGGGACTCTATGCGCAGTTTTGTTCAGTGGAGTTTGGTGGGGGCTGCTTAAAAATGTATCTGAAATTTTGTCTTTATTCAGGTAGAGGGAGACCAACAGATCAGGAGACAACTGCTGTTGAAAAGACAGTTTGCGGCTGGGCACGGTGGCTCACTCTTGTAATCACAGCACTTTGGGAGGCCGAGGTAGGCGGATCACCTGAGGTTGGGAGTTTGAGACCAGCCTAACCAACATGGAGTAACCCCGTCTCTTCTAAAAATACAAAAAAAGAAAAAAAATTAGCTGGGCATGATGGCACGTGCCTGTAACCCCAGCTACTACAGAGGCTGGGGCAGGAGAATCGCTTGAACCCAGGAGGCAGACGTTGCGGTGAGCCGAGATCACGCCACTGCACTCCAGCCTGGGCAACAAGAGCGAAACTCTGTCTCAAAAGAAAAAAAAAAAAAGAAAAAACAGTTTGCTACTCCTGTTTCCCAGAGGAAGGGGAGGCCCCAGGGTCAGTGGGGGCCGGGGTGGGAGGTGTGGGGAGAGTATGGGCAGAGCCCCTGCTGTGGCTTGCTTTCTTAGGAAGGATTGGTGAGGCAGGGTTGGTGGCTCAGCAGGTTTAGGATCGGATAGCTTGAGTAATTTCCCTGGGCCATGAGCTGTAGGGGTGGTCTGATGTGTGGCCCTGGGGAGATTTAGGGTAGGGGCATAATATCCTGGACTATAGAGCCTGATGACAAAGGCTGTGGGGGCCTGGGCTCCGGATTGGTTGGTCTGCTTTGATACAAAGCATGCTTGCTGTCTCCAGGAATTAGCTTACCCTGGTCCTTCCCTGGGTCTGCAAGGCCCCAGATGTCAAAGCATCATAAAATACACAACATTTTAAAGACACAATTAATACGGGGGCCAGTTCAGGGTGCTTCCAGCCCTTGGTATCGTGTGTGAATTAGAGGCAAGCACCCCTGTTGGTAGACACAGCAGGGCAAGGGCTGTTGGGCAAGGGATTATGGGCTGGATTTCAGCCCTCCCTGGCCCCTGAGCCAGGCACCTTGGAGATGGTGGAGCCTAAACAGCTTCACCTGGCAGCCCTGGAAAGTGGCCAGATTTAGCAAATAAAATACAGGATACTCAGTTAAATGTGAATTTCAGATATATAATGGCTATTTTCTTTAGTATAAGTATGGCCTGTATGTCCCATGCAGTATTTGGAAGATATTTATATTAAAAAGTTATTATTTTTCTCAAACTCAAATTTAACTGGGCATCTGTTGTAGCCCAGTTGGGCTGCTATAACAAGACACCATAAACTGGACGGCTTAGAAATCACAGAAATTTATGCCTCACTGTTCTGCGGGTCAGGAAGTCCAAGATCAAGGCAGATTTGCTTTCTATTGAGGGACAGACACCTGGTTCATGATGCCCTCTTCTCACTGTGTCTTCACAATGTGGAAGGGACAAGGGGTCTCCCTCAGGCCTCTTTTTTGTAAGGGCACTGATCCCATTTATGAGGCTCCACCCCCATGACCTAATCATCTAGTAAAGGCCCCACCTCCTAATACCTGGGGGTTAGGATCTCGACATAGGAATTTTGGAAGCCACAAACATTCAGACTGTGATTGCATCCTGCGTCTTATCTGCACCCCTAGACCCTGGCCACTACTGTGCCTGAGTCTCCTCATCTGACCATGGTCTATTGTTAGGGTCTTCCCCAGCAGTTACCCTAGGACAGAGAGAGAGAGAGAGAGAGAGAGAGAGAGCGCACAAGTCAGATAAAGGAATGGACACACACACAAATGAGTAGGAGAACCACAGCATGAGCGAGAAAAAGTGACACAGAGTGAGAACGCAAAGGAAGATACAGGGAGACAAAGAGTGAGAGAAACCAAAAGGGACAGGAGAGAGGGACAGCTGCAGAGACACAGGGGAGCTGGTTCCCTCCCCATTCAGACCCCACCTAACCCCTCAGTCCCCCCCCCCCGCCCCCCCCCCCCCCCTCTCTACCTAACCCCCCCAGCCCCTCCCAACCAGCCCCCCACCATGCCCCTCTACCTAACCCCCCAGCCCCTCTCAACCAGCCCCCACCATCCTCCTCTCTACCTAACCCCCCAGGCCCTCCCAACCAGCCCCCCACCATACCCCTCTACCTAACCCCCCAGCCCCTCCCAACCAGCCCCCACCATCCTCCTCTCTACCTAACCCCCCAGCCCCTCCCAACCAGCCCCCACCATCCTCCTCTCTACCTAACCCCCCCAGCCCCTCCCAACCAGCCCCCCACCATACCCCTCTACTTAACCCCCCAGCCCCTCTCAACCAGTCCCCACCATACCCCTCTCTACCTAACCCCCCCAGTCCCTCCCAACCAGCCCCCCACCAACCCCCTCTACTTAACCCCCCAGCCCCTCCCCCAGCCCTCACCATCCCCTTCTCTACCTAACCTCCAGCCCCTTCCCCACCAGCCCCTCACCATTCCCCCTCTACCTAATCCCCCAGCCCCTCCCCTGTTATACCCCTCCCCACCTAGCTCCCTCTCTACTTAACCTCCACCCCTCCTAGTCCCCTCCTCATCCAGCCCCCACTCCTTTTAGCCCCCTCCTTACCTAGCCTCCTCCCCATCAACTCCCTGTCCCCCTAGCCCCCTCCCCACACACTCCTCTCGAAGCCCATCCACACCCACCCCCTCCCCTCTAGGCCTCACCTTGGAGTAGGTGGCCCCATTGATGACCTCTCCCTTTCGCAACCAGATGATGGAGGCTGCAGGCTTGGCATTGTCTGCGTGGCATGTGAGGTTGAGAGGGTCCCCCGCACGCAGGCTGATCACAGGGCCCCCCAGGATGACGGGGTCATCAGGCGGCACTGCAGGGAGAGAAGCAGAAGGTCAGGCTGAGGCTGCTCCCTCAGGTAGGACGGCAGGGGGGCTGGGAGGATTTTGTGGAGATGATGACAAATAATAATTATCATACGTTGATAAAACGCATCATCTGCTTGTATCGTAACAATGACAGCAGCACCCGCAGTGATGCCCGACATGTGCACTGTGCGCTTATAGTGGAGGATATTCCCGCCAGTCATCGCATCCCTGCTGAGGCCCAGCCGAGAGGGGACAGGGCCAGCAGCCTCAGCCTGCACTACCAGGCCCGGTAGCAGAGCTCTGTGGCCCAGGCGATGTCTGTGGCTTATTTCTTTTTAACTTCTTCTTTTTTCTTTTTATTTTTTTGAGACGAAGTCTCTCTCTGTCACCCAGGCTGGAGTGCAGTGGCATGGTCTCAGCTCACTGCAACCTCTGCCTCCCAGGTTCAACCCAGGTTCAAGTGATTTTCCTGACTCAGCCTCCCAAGTAGCTGGGACTACAGGCACGTGGCAGCACGCCTGAGTAATTTTTTTTGTATTTTAAGTAGAGATGGGGTTTCAACATGTTTGTCAGGCTGGTCTTGAACTCCTGACCTCAGGTGATCTGCTTGCCTTGCTTCCCAAAGTGCTGGGATTACAGGCCTGAGCCACCATGCCCGGCCAACACCTGGCTACATTTTGTATTTTTAGTAGAGACAGGGTTTCACCATGTTGGCCAGGCTGGTCTCAACGTCCTGACCTCAGGTAATCGGCCCGCCTCAGCCTCCCAAAGTGCTGGGATTACAGGTGTCAGCCATGGCGCCCGGCTCTTCTTTTTTCTTTAAACGGAGCACTGTCACACCTGCTGTCTGTGTTAGTCCTCACAATAGTCTGGTGAGGTCAACATTATCACCCCAAAGACACAGATCCGGAAGCCGAGTTCCAGCAGGATTAGTGACTGGCTCAAGGTCACATGGTGGCAGAGCCAGGGCTGGAGGCCAGGCCCAGGGAACCTGGGAGCACCAGGCCGGCCCCTTCCCTGGCAGGGGGCAGGGTACAGGGCAGCCCTTCAGGGTGGAGCCAGCGCTTCGGAGGGCTATGCAAGTGCTGGCATCTCCTGAGCTCCTGACTCCTCCGGAGTGGCTCCAGCCCCTTCATCCCCAGAGGCGGCCTGATTCTTTCCTGTCCCGGCCTTCCCACTGCATTTTGTAGCAGGGTCAGAGATGGGTGGCTCCCGTCAAGGGATCCCGAGTGCCAGGAGCAGGGGGCATCCACGTCAGAGCACGGTCTCCGCAGTGCCCAGCACAGAGCCCTGTGCCTGGGGGAAGCTCCACTGACATTTGCTGGCCCCAATGGAGTCACCCCTTTGATTCCCATGAGGACTATGGGCCGAAGGACGGCGGATGGTCATGGCTCGGAGGAGGGCCCGGAGATGTGAAGTGCCTTGCCTTAGGGCACAGCCTCTTCCCATGCTTGTGCTTGGGGACATATTGAGGGTCTCAGGCCTCTGCTGCTCCCTGGACAAGCCACAGAAGGGATAGGAGATGAGGCGACTGTTCTCTGAGGAATCCCTGTTTCCCTTCCCCCGGGAGGAGCTGGACCCACAAGCTCTGGAGGCTGAGAGAGGCCCAGGGCTTCCGGACACATCAAGACGTGAGCCGTCTGTGTACACAGCAAACAGAGAAGGGGTAGTTGGATAACAGGGGTCTGGGGACCCAGCACAAAGGGTCCTCTCTGCCTGGTGGCCAGAGAAAGCCCGCCCTTCTATGCAGGCTCTGTGCTTGGGACTCTGGACTGGAGAAGTTCAGAGCTGGACAGTCACAGCTCCGGGCCGTCCTGACTCCGCTGGCTTAGCCTTCCAGACTCGGCCTGCATGGGAGCTTCCCTTTCCTTCCCAGGGCATCGCCCCATCAGCACCTCTCCTGGTCCACTCTGGCTTCTCCGAAAGCTCCAGGAGGGACAGGAAGCTCCCATGAGGGCCCAGTAAGAAGCCAAGAAGCGAACCTTCAGACCAGCTGCCTTGCCCTCCCTGCCCAGCCTTGGAGGCCTGCTCCGACACTAACAGCACAGCAGCCATTTCCTGAAGAATCAACAACCTCCCCGGGCTGCCAAGAAGCCATCACTGATCCCAGGGGCAGCGAGCCCTGGACTCCACTGAGACCCTGGCTCAGGAACAGAGTCTGCCTCATGCAACCCTGCCTGGCTCTGGGCTCTTGAGCCAGGCCTCCTGGAGGCCCGGAGGAAGCAGGCGGGAATGGGGTGGATGGAGAAGACGACCCCCCAGCCGCCCGCCCCGCCCCCTTCCATTAGTGCCCATGGGCCTCCTTGGGGTGGGCCTGGCCACAGGGCAAAAGGGAGGTGGATTAGGGCTTTCCATCAAGCAGGGGTGGGTGCAACCGCTTGCG